GTGCAGCAAAGGAAACCATTGAGGAAATGAAAAGACAACCATGTAATGGGAGAACATATTCACCAATGAGACATCTAATAAGGGGTTATTATCTGAAATTTATAAAGAACTTATAAAACTCCCCCCCCCAAAAAAACCCCCCACAAACAATCCAATTTAAAAGTGGGCAAAGAACCTTAATAGACACTCTCCAAAGAGAATGTATTGATGGCTAAAACACATGAAAAGAGGCTCAATGTCACTAGTCATGAGAGAAATGTAAGTTAAAATGACAATGAGGTATCACCTCACACCTGTCAGAGTGGCTACTATCAATTAATCAATAGACAACAAGTGCTGGTGAAGATGTGGAGAAGAGGGACCCTCCTGCACTGCTGGTGAGAGTGCAGACTGGTGCAGCCACTGTGGAAAGCAGTACCGAGTTACCTCAAAAAATTGAATCTGGAACTGCCCCTGAACCACCAATTTCACTTCTGGGAATTTATCTGTAGAAACCAGAAACAGTAAATAGAAAGAATATATGCACCTCTATGTTCCTTGCAGCATTATTTAGAATAGCCAAAATTTGGAAGCAGCCCAAGTGCCCATCCGTAAATGAGTACATAAAACAGCTGTGGTACATTTACAAAATGGAATACTACTTGCCCTTAAAAAGGAAGAAAATGTTATCCTTTGCAACAGCATGGATGGACCGGAAGAACAGGATACTAAGTGAAATAAGGTAGTCAGAGAAAGACAACTGCCATGTAATTTCACTCAGATATAGATCTAATGAATAAACTGAACTAGTAAGCAAAATGGAGACAGACTCAGAGAGAGCAGGCTGACAGCTCCCGAGGTGGAGGCTGGGCAGAGTGGAGGGACTGAACAAGGAAAGAGAAAGAACTCATGATGTGGACAGCACTGTGGTAATTATGGGGGGTGGACGGGAGTGGAAGAAGGTATAGAGTAGTGGTTCTCAACCTTCCTAATGCTGCGACCCTTTAATACAGTTCCTCATGTTGTGGTGACCCCCAATTTCATTGTTACAAATTGAACATAATTAAAGCATAGTGATTAATCACAAAAACAATATGTAATTATATATGTGTTTTCCCATGGTCTTAGGCGACCCCTGTGAAAGGGTCTTTCGACCCCCAAAGGGGTCGTGACCCACAGGTTGAGAACTGCTGGTATAGAGGAATACATGGTGTTGGGGAAAACAAAATAAATAAAAATATCTCTGATTTGGAAAACTCATTGGAACTATAAGATGAGACAAATTCCCACTTTGGACTGTTAATCCTCATCCACACAAGCCAGTTCCAGTCCATTGGCCTCAATGCTGTTCCATAAACACAGCAGCTTTTGTGGAGAAAGAAGTGGTTAGACGTTAAGACCACAGACAAGAAGAGACGCCTGGTGTCTGCCATCTGACTGGCACTGTGACTCAGCAGTCCCCGAAGCCCCGTCTGAACATAGGTGTGTGGAGACAGGGACAAAAGCAGCCATTCTTTCTAGCGCCCTGAGCACCGGACACGCAGCACTGACAGGTCCAGCAGGCGCAGCTCCTGCTATGAGTGCAAGACCTGTCTCTTCACCTGGCTTAGCCGCAGGCGGCAACCCTCCCGGGGTGAGTGAGGCTACGGTGCAGAGCAGCACGTCCCAAGGACAGGCTGAGCGGAGGCTAAGCTCTCAGCAGCGGACTCACACGTACCACGACCGACATTCAGAAAGGAACGTGCCCATGGAGACCAGTGCCCAGAGAGACCGGTGCCCAGGGGAGACCGGTGCCCGCAGAGACCATTGCCTACAGAGACCGGTGCCCAGGGAGACCGGTGCCCAGAGAGACCGGTGTCCAGGGGAGACCAGTGCCCACAGAGACCATTGCCTACAGAGACCGGTGCCCACGGAGACTGGTGCCCAGGGAGACCGGTGCCCAGGAGAGACCAGTGCCCAGGGAGACAGGTGCCCAGGCAAGACCGATGCCCAGGGGAGACCGGTGCCCAGGGAGACCAATGCCCGGGGGAGACCGATGCCCAGGGGAGACCGGTGCCCAGGGAGACCAATGCCCAGGGGAGACCGATGCCCAGGGGAGACTGGTGCCCATGGAGACCGGTGCCCAGGGAGACCAGTGCCCCAGGGGGATGAGTGCCCAGGGAGACCGGTGCCCAGGGAGACCAGTGACCAGAGAGACTGGTGCCCATGGAGACCGGTGCCCAGGGAGACCGGTGCCCAGAGAGACCGGTGCCCAGAGAGACTGGTGCCCATGGAGACCGGTGCCCAGAGAGACCGGTGCCTAGAGAGACAGGTGCCCAGGGAGACTGGTGCCCAGGGGAGACTGGTCCCCAGGGAGACCGGTGCCCAGGGGAGACTGGTGCCCAGGGGAGACTGGTCCCCAGGGAGACCGGTGCCCAGGCGAGACCGATGCCCAGGGGAGACCGGTGCCCAGGGAGACCAATGCCCAGGAGAGACCGATGCCCAGGGAGACCGGTGCCCACGGAGACCGGTGCCCAGAGAGACTGGTTCCCAGGCAGCTGGGCCAACGGCACCTTCCCGAGGTTTGGAACCAAGACAGATGACTGTGGTTTAAGACCTTCCCAGTTCTAAATAGCCAAGACTAAAGGTGCATGTCACGTTTAAAAATGACAGTCCAGTCGCGAGCGATAAAACCCAAGGGGAAGAATGGTTTAAACATAACAGGAAGTGTTTCTCAAGGAAACCACAGGAGAGCTACACTCAGCTTCAGATGTGTCCCAACAACCAGAGTCCCTACTGCAGACAAGCCACGGAGCTCAGCCACGCCAAGGTAATCATTAAGCTTCTTCCGAGAAAGTGGCACCAGGAACCTCGCCTGCGCCTGTGCAGTACCGGGAAGATGCTTGATTCAGCTGCAGCTTTACCCTCTCTGCACCCGCGGTAAAAGCGGAGTGGAATCCACTTTGCTTCAGTAACGTGGAGAGGGGGCACTGCAGAGACAGCTCTGCCTGCAACAAGCTACCAGGCCCGGGCGCATCCCTCTGCCCTGGACTTCACTTTACTGCTCGGTAAATGCGGTCTTTGGACTAGAAAGCAAGGCACTGCGTCGTCCCTGGAGGAGTTTGCATTTCAAAAGTTTTGAATCTTTTGGGCAAGGACTGTCCAGGCTCCCCACACTTCTCTGCTCCCTCCCATCTCCCACCCACCCCTGCTAGAGGCCTGTAAACCTGCTGGGGCCGCAGGCAGGGGCCTGCAGCACAACCCATAGCCCCACTCACCCTGCCCTCCTATGCTCATACCAATTCTTGCCAATGACGCTTCAAAGGTATGGCTTAGGCCACTCTGATAGTAACCTGTTAGATAATATACAGTGGAAAATTAACTATCATTAACCTCTAGGACTGTGAACAACCTATCCTATAGTCAGTCAATTACTTTTATATCTTAAATTAAGATAGAAGACTAGTTGTATTATCAATGATTTTTGGACACAAGCAGACAAACACAAAACAACAGATGGCAGCTGCCTCCACTTTGCTCATAGGTATGTAAATTCTTATGTTCTGAACGCAGACACTAACAGCACAGCACACACCTCTACCACAAGACACAACTGATGTACTTCTGCCTTAGCAGTAGGTCTGATATAAAAAATCTTTTCAAGAACTTCTATACTCTTATTTCTGCAAAGAAGCATACGATGGTATATGATGGGATATATGTCTATATACATACACACACACAATGAGTGGCCAGATTATGACCACCTGACGTTTGTAGGCACATTAGCTGTACACTGCATCATATGGGATATGGAAGCCGAAGGCCTGTTCGAACATCTTTGCTGTCTGAAGTTACCAAGATAAAACGTCTCCAATTCGCACCGGAACACAAGGATTGGACAGTTGAGCATTGGAAAAAAGTCACGTGGCCCGATGAATCACGTTTCCAGTTGCATCATGCAGATGGCAGAGTGAGAATTTGGGGGAAACAACATGAAAGCATGCACCCCACATGCATGAGTACAAACCTTCAAGCTGGTGGGGGCAGTGTTATGGTTTGGGGCATGTTTTCCTGTCATGATTTGGGCCCTTTAATTCATGTGGAACAACGTCTGAATAGCACAACATCCCTAAGTATCAGTGCTGATCAGGTTCATCCTACCATGTTGATGGCGTATCCCAATGGAGATGGCTTCTTCCAACAAGACAATGCGCCATGCCACGGTGCTCGTATTGTGCAGGAGTGGTTTCAAGAGCATGAGGGAGGCTTTACCTTGCTGAGGTGGCCCCCACAATCACCAGATCGCAATCCAATTGAGCATTTGTGTGACGAAGTTAAAAGAGCCATCAGGCAGCTGGTTCCACAGCCATCAAATCTCACAGAACTGGACGGTGCTATTCATCAGGCATGGTGCCAGATTCCTCGCATCACCTTTCAACATCTCGTGGAGTCAATGCCAAGAAGAATTGCCGCAGTATTGGAGGCAAAAGGTGGCCCAACGAAGTACTGGTGGGTGGTCATAATAATCTGGCCACTCATGTTCAAATATAACCCACGTTCAAAGGCTGTTAAATCGTGTTGTTTACCCACATCTTCAGAAAAACATCACTTCTACTGTCGTGGTAAACAACCTGCTTCCCTATTTATAATGGTCTGGCCCTCTAGCAACTTAAGCATGAAATTATAGCTAATTTGCCTACAAACGTCAGGTGGTCATAATAATCTGGCCACTCAGTGTGTGTGTGTGTGTGTGTGTGTGTGTGTGTGTGTGTGTGCTCCTAAATGATTTTAAACAAATTCATGTGTTTGAAATTATTTTTATGAAGTATCTCTAATGTCAAACTATGACAGGAAACTGATCGCCAGACTGAGTTAGAGGACACAATTCTTTCCAACGGAAGGGGAGCGGGCAGAGCAGGTGGTTTCCACTGTCATCTTCTCTAACTTCCATGCCCCGGGCTGCATGTCACACAGGCTTGCTCAAGGTGAGGGCACTGCAACAGGAGAGAACCACTGTGAATACAAGTACACATACTCACTTTACGGGACCGTGGGTGGCAGCTGTCTCCTGCTCTGCCCATGGGTGTGCAAAGCCTTAGGCCCCGAATCCAAATGCTAACAGCACAGCACGTGTTCCCAACACACTGGAAGTCATCATTGCAAGCCTGGAATGACACCAGCAAGCTTAAATAGAGATAGTGGGAGAGACTCAGGGGGGGCATCTAAAAATAGCAATAAAAAAGCGCTTTAACTATCCAACTGCTCTGTGATAATAATCCCATATATAAAAAACTGCAATCTTCATTTACTTGTCCATGTTTGACATAAAATATAATCAGAAGAGATTTTCCTAGTTTTTAAAAAAATGGCCTAAAAATGACTCACACATTATGAAAACCTTAAACACAATTTTTTAAAAACCAGTTATCTTTTTCTAGTGCTTTATTGAATTTGCTTTGAACTTGAAAAAAAAAATGAGTCTATATTAATCTTATACCGTACACAGCCACTAAACACTACACAAGTCAAATCACGAGACTATATGATTATTAACTGAATACATTGGGCCCAGTTTTTCCAAAGGGATTTACATGGTCTCTAAGTCTGGCATGAACTGCTTCAGACCCATCAAGGCACTGATGTAAATTTTAGAAAGACTCATTTTCCTTTTTAAATATTTGCATTTTGGTTCATGACACTTGATGTTTCTCACACCACTGACTTGATTTTCACCATTTCCTCTTTAAAGAAAGAAATCTCATAGGGTGAGAATGGGCAGACCAAGGCTTTCCCTTATGTTACTCTTTTATCGCCAGTGAGTAACCTGCAAAAAGAAAATTGTTGGCTTAGCATATACACATGTGCACATTATAAAACCAATGGAGCTTCTGTCGGAGCCATCAGAGGAGAAAATGCAATTGTTAACAGTGATGACTCAGGGCACCTGCTCCCAATACAAACACTGTAAATACACACAATTAAAGAATCAACTATGGCCCTCATGGTTTGGCTCAGTGGATAGAGCGTCGGCCTGTGGACTGAACGGTGCTGGGTTCAATTCCAGACAAGGCATGTACCTTGGTTGCGGGCACATCCCCAGTAGGGGGTGTGCAGGAGGCAGCTGACTGATGCTTCGCTCTCATCCATGTTTCTAACTCTCTACCCCTCTCCCTTCCTCTCTGTAAAAAATCAATAAAAATATTTTTTTAAAAAGAATCAACTATGAAGGAATTCCATACTGTGATAAATAGAAATAAACAATGAAGTCTAAATTTATATGCTTAAAAATCGATCTGAAGGTCTATTGTTCTTTCCTAGAATCAACCAAAAATAGGATGCTTTGTTTGAATGGGGTGTAGTAATCTATTTTGCCAACATTAAGGTAAAAACATCCTGTCTTATAAAATATGTAAGAAATAAAAAAACTTATAATTTAGGCACAAGTTTAAATGTACATTTATTGGAAACAACTAAAGCATTTCTTCAAAATTCTAGTTTTGGGGACAGCCATAACTTCTTAAATATAAACACATGGACACACTTTATTACTTTTAATTGATTTATTTCCCCTGCTAACACTTTTTTCTCAACCTATTTAAAACAAGTATCTGGACTAAGACTACAATTTCCACCTTGGGGTGTTTGGACATTTATCGGAAAATATTTAATCATTTCCATCTTCCAGCTCTTATCTGTATGCCAGGTATCATGCCCATGTGGCTCTCCCAACCATCAGTGAAATGTTCAGTACATGATGTTTCCCAATGTGGTTTTAACAAAACGATGATATGTATATATATATACTTATTGATTTCAGAGACGAAAGGAGAGGGAGAGAGAGAGAGACATCAATGATGAGAGAGAATCATGGATCGGCTGCCTCCTGCTCGCCCCCTGCTGGGGATCCAGCCTGCAACCCAGGCATGCGCCCTTGACCGGAATCGAACTTGGGACTTTTCAGTCTGCAGGCTGATGCTCTATCCACTGAGCCACACCAGCCAGGGCTCAATGACTTTAAATGACTACATATATTCGCCCAAACAGTAAGTGTTTAAGGTGGAGGTTTCAGGCCATATTTTATTCCAACAGATGCTCAAGACCCCGCATTCTGAAGCCCCACCAACTCTATTAGGCAATCAAAATCCAGCCAAAAATCTTTTAAAATTCAACCCATCGCTTGCATGTTTAATATCCTATGGACAATATATCCAGATAAGTTATTTAGTTTTTCATTTGACTCCAGATGGTTCCTGTCATGGAGACATAACTGCATTTCTTCATTGCCGTGCAGCTTTAGAGACTCGTAAAAGAATTCTCCTTTTGTAACACAGAGTTAAAATCACAACAAACAGCACACATACTATATAACAAGCCCGTCTAAATCTCTCTATAGATAAACATCCAATGTGATAAAGATTTCATTTTGTAACAAGAAGCTTTAGTTTCTGGAAATATTTACAAAGAATTGCATAGGGTTATATATTTTTAATTAGACAGCTGCTTCCTAACGCCCTTCAGCCTTAAGCCATTGCAGATCTAGCCAAACTGTGTTGTCCTGTGAATGGAACAAAAAGATACTTATATTGCAAAAGAATTTTGGGCTCAGAGGATTAGCAGAAATTTTAAATGAGCCAGCGGGAGAAGAGGGGGGAAATCATGTTTCAATTCTCATGTATTAGAAAGACCTATAAAAACATTTTTCAACCACACCAGCTGGCTACTTTCAAAGGTATTCAAATACATTTTGTAAAAAATCTCTAAATGACTCTAATAAATATCACAACTCTTACAGTTGCGTATCTCCTGGGCGGAACCACATACTGCTGAGGTCCCAGGGCTCACAATGTGCTCTGAGACTGCTAATTAGCATGGAGACAACAGAGCTTTATTTTCTCAAGACAATGACATTTCCCTTCGATTTAAATGTTATTTCATTATCATTTCAAATATGGAAGTTTTATTTAAATCCTAGAACGTGGACTTGGATATTTGGAGCAATTTAATGGAGGTGTAAAGTAATTTCAGACTTGGAAGGAAGGAATAAGGACATGACAGCGGGTTTGCATTGTTGATGTAAAGTGGACTGGACCTGTGGGTTCTGTACTAGGAATTCACCCTCAGACCCACACAAAGACCTCTGGGCGGGAGAAGGGTGAGTTAGCGCCCTCCCGATGCAGATTTCTCTCTACGCTGAAGCCTTTGCATGGCCTCCTTTTCCATCATTTGCAGGAGCAGGAGGTGCTTCATCGGGAACTGGAAATGGGAAACTTTCATAGGGAGACTCTCAAGACGCGGGGAAAAACACCCCCCACCCCCCAAACAAACAGAAAACCCTGGGACCCAGAAAGAAGCACCCACACTGCTTTTCAGAGCGCACACATGGCCTGGGACCAAGGTCTTTCCAAGCGATTCTGTGGGGGACGCGTGGGGAGCAAGTCCCCGCTACAGAGGAGGGGGCCGGGTGGAGTATGCGCCAGGCCCCGGCAGTTCAGCAAGGGCCTCGGGGTTCCGGTTCAGGCGGCACGTTCCGGGATAGAGCTTGAGGGGACTGAAGAGCATCTTCCCGCGGACAGAGAAGGACCAGACCCCAGGAGGGTGCGGGGAGACAGGAGAGGCAGGTGGGGAAGTGCGACGAAGGTGCCGAGGGCGGCACTTGGTCACTTTTCTTGCGGGGCGCGCCCAGGGTCCGTGCTGTCGGGCACCCTCCTAAGTGCGCCACGGGGCGGCCCAGGCGGGTCCCGGCGCCGGGACCCCCTCCCCGCGGCCCTCGCCGCCCTCGCGGTGCCTTCCCCAGCCTCGCGGGCGCCGCCGCCGACAGGTGCGGGGCTGCTTACCCCGGTGATGACGGCGGCGTCCCCGGCGCGGGGAGCGAGCAGCAGCGGCGGCAGCAGCAGCAGCAGCAGCAGCATCTGGGCGCCGCGCGGGTGCCTCATGGCGCCCTCGGGGCTGGCGGCCGTGGGGGCGGTCGGGGCGGTCGGGGCGGTCGCTCGCTGGGGCGCAGAGCTTCGGGCTGGCGGCGCCGCGAGCCTCGGGCGGTTATAAAGGCGAGCGCGGCCGTGACTCAGCCGCGGGCGCTGCGGGCACCCCCGCCCCCGCTCCCACGCCAGCCCGCGCCCCGCCTCGGGCGCCACGCAGGCAGCCCCGGGAGCCCCGCGCCCCGCGCCTGACTCGCCCGCGTGGCTGCGGGGCTGAGACTCGCTGCCGGGCTGAGACTCGCTGCCGTCCTCGTTGCCAAAGCGACACGTGCTCAGCGCGACTCCTCGCAGCGCGTTTGCTCTCCAGATGCCGGGGAGCGCCTACTACGCGCCGCGCGCTGGGGACACGCGTGTGTGTATGTGTGTGTGTGTGTGTATGTGTGTGTGTATGTGTATATGTGTGTGTATATGTATGTGTGTGTATGTGTGTATGTGTGTATGTGTGTGTATGTGTGTGTGTGTGTATGTATGTGTGTGTGTGTATGTATGTGTGTGTGTGTGTACGCGCGCGCGCGCGCGCGGGGGGAGCGGGAGGGGGCGCGGAGCCCCTGAACGCGCCGCTGGTCCGCAGGTCTGCACAGCGCGCCGCCCAGGTGCTGCCGGGTCTGTCCTGCTGTCCTGCGGTCCAACCGCCGGAGAGGGGGCCCCACACCTAAGCAGGCAACGGGGAAGGGGGGCGGGGGCGGGGGGTGGGGCAAAGGGAGAGCGAAAGGCCTCCCCCCACCCCCCTCAGCCTCTCCCCCCCTGCCCCCCCGGAGTCAGTGCGGCTCTGTCGCCGCAGGCGCCTCCCTGTGCGCCCGCGTCTGCTGCGACCTCGCTCTCGGGGTCCCACGGAGCCTGCCCTCCTCGGGGGCCGCGCCAGCGCCGGCCCGCAGTTCTGGAAGCCGCGAGGGGAGAGGGAGGCCCGGCGTCCAGGCCCCAAGCCGCTCGCCGCGCCTTGGCCCCTTCCCAGCCCGGACTCACCGCCTCGGCTGGGGCGGCCACAGCGTCCCGTGAGGGAGTCGCTCTGGGCCCCGCGCTCCCGGCCACGAGGGCAGACGTGCCCTCCCTCTCAGAGCCGAGCCTGCGTTTCCTCAACGAGTGCGATGGCCGGAGGACTTGGCTGTGACCACGCCAAGCCTGCCAGCGCCACAACTTTGGGAAGCGGACTCTCCCTAAATGTTCAGAATCGCGGGCTTTCCCTGCCCCTGAGGACCACGGAGTTTGGAGAAGCAGCTGCGCCTTCCAGCATCTTTAATGGATACGCGCAGAGAGCCGGCAGTCACTTCCAGACCTCGGGGCTCCCTGCTGCCAAGCATTTAGACCAAATGTGGAGAGAGGGGAAAGCAGGCAATTATCCGAATGTTAAACAGCTGAATATTTGGAAAACCAAATCTCTGACTGATTTAAAAAACCTTTTCACCCGTTTTCATGTTTCAGAATGTGCTCAAACAACAAAAGAATCAAACTTAAAAAATGTTATAATTGGGCTCAGTAAAGTAAGTGGAAACAGTAGCAAGTGACAGATTGGTGGAAAGTTTCCTTTTCCAGTCTCTATGCCAACGCTAAGGCTGGGAATGCCACTGGGTAAATGGGAAAACCAGTCAACATGGATTTTAACATTCCTACAACTTTTTAAAAAAATGCTCTATTTCGTATTTGCTACTATTGAATGCCAGCTTGGGTAGTGCCTCCGAGCACAGAAAACAGGAAACATCGACACAGCTGTCCTTCCTACATGGCTGTTTGGAAAACAATCCTCACAGGCTGTTTTGAAACAAGGTTAGAAACACTTAAAAACAGGGTTGGTTTGGTCTCATATGTCTTTTGATCATGTTGTTTCTGTTGATTGGTTTAATGCTCTAGGGGAGACATGAAGGCCCCTGGTATGACAAATCTTTGCATCTATGTCCAAGTTAGAAAACTGCAGTCTGAAAGTTAGTTCCATTTTATAAATGGAAAAATGAAAGGTTGAATTTGGATTAATTCATAAAAGTAAGTGAGGTGGGAAGGCCAGCTACCCACACTGCAATAGAAATGGGCGAGTACCAGCCGCTGGCCTGTCCTGTTCTGTTTCTTCCTGCAGCCTGTTATCTGGCCACAGGAGCCATCCACGTGTGTGTAGTCAGAGTGGAGACTGCGTGTGGCAGCAGACCATCGAGGCCTGGCGGAATCGATGGGCAGCACAGGAGAGCCCACGGGGTCCCACACTTGTGAATCTGACTGAGCTGGTTTGGAATCCCGAGTGGCCATTGGACAAGTTACTTACTAGTAACCTTTTAAACCTCTATTTCCTCACCTATAAAATGGATAGAAAATACCAACCTCATGGGTTACAACCATGGGTATAAAGAGCGCAATGCCTGTGAGGTGGTCAGCACAGCGCCTAGGACAGACGGGAGCCTCGTTGGAGTGACCCCTCACCAAGTCTTGTTACGTGGTGTCCTCTACATTTCAGTCAACACTGATATCGTCATTTTTGTCTTTCCACCAGATTAGATTACAGCCCCTTTGGGATCCTTGTGTGTGATTTCCCAAACAACCTGCTGGCACAGAGCACAGTGCGAGGCATGTTAGCAGGCCTCTCAGTAAGTGACTGATGAGGCCGGTCACAAGCCTGTGACACACAGTGTAGACGCATTTAATTTACATGAGTTGGTTAAATGTAGTCACCAAAGGCTAGAGGTGTAGATTCTTTCCCTTGTGCACGTGATTCAGCCACCATTCTACTCAATGGACAAGTGACTGAAATGAGGTACACTGGGAGACACAGCATGTCTTGTTGCCACAGTAATGAGACTGTCTTTGCCCCAGGCTGGTGAAGGATCCATCTCAGCATGTGCTTCATGATGCCAGTGGAGGGTTGTGCAGTGGGTTACATTGCATCCCCCCAAAAGCCATTTTCCCAATCCCAAATACTGTACCTGTGAATATGACCTTATTTAGTGCTTGGGTCTTTAAAAATGTAATCCAAGCATGTCAAACTCGAGGCCTGTGGGCCACAAGCCTCATTCATTTAAAACCCGCTGGCCACGAGTTGGATATGCTTGATGTAATCAATTAAGATGAGGTCATACCAGATTAGGGTGGGCCCTTAAACTAATGACTGGCATTGTTATAAGAGAAAGTGAGGGAGATGGACATAGATACAAAGAAGATACATACACAGAAGCACACTTGTGCAGATGGAGGCAGAGACTGGAGAGATGTGTCTACAAGCCACGGAACGCCAAGGATCGCCAGCAGCACCAGAGTTGGAAGAGGAAAGGAAGGGTCCTCCCTTCCTACAGCCTTCAGAAATACCACACCCTTGACCTCAGACTTCTAGCCTCGAGAACCATGGGAGAACACTTGTCTGTTTTAAGCTACCTGTTGCAGTAATTTTTTATGGCAGCCATAGCACGCTAACACCAGCCACAGCATGCTAACACAGGTGGGTGGAGCTGGAGGGTGGCTCAGCAGCCTTCAATGCCTCTGCCTGGAATTGAAGCAATCACTTCTGCTCAGGTTTTAGTAGCTAAAAAAGTCACATAACTCTCTTTAAGTGGGTGGACAATGCAAGTCTACAAGGCACTCTAATTTCTGAGAACCAGAAATGTAATGACTAGTACCACATTTTATAGAAAAGGGATCAATCATGGCTTAGATTCCTTAATGAGGGTAATAAACATTTTATGATATTAATTCTAATATATAAAAGCCCAGGGTCATAACGACCAATCACAACCGAAGGCTGACCAACCCTGAAGTCCTTCAGTCAGTGTTGGGTTGCTGTGGCAATCCAGCACTGACTGCCCCACTGCAGCCTGGGAACCCAGCACTGACTGCTCAGGGGGCTAAGACCCAGAGAGAGAGGCAGGGTCTGATCCGCAGCCTCAGTGGCAGCTGTTGATCAGCACTTTCCTCTTTCTTTCTCTCCCTCTTTCTTTCTGGGCTTCGCCAGCAGCCAGGCCTTTCTTTCTCTCCCAGCCTCTGAGGGGCAGCTGTTCAGCCCCGCCTCTCTGATCAGGCCCGGAGATAGGCCCGGAGATGCTGACTGGTGTAGGAACCAACCAATCAGAACCAAATGTGGGTGCTCTAAAGAACCAATGGCTATCTAGGAGGCGGAGCTTTTGACACTGACTGGCATAGAAACTGACCAATCAGAACCAAATCTGGGTGCTGTGGGGAGCCAATGGTTGCCTAGGAGGCAGAGCTTTTGAAGCTGACTGGCATAGAAACCGACCAATCAGAACCAAATTGGCCAGCAGGGGAGGGTAGTTGGGGGCAACCAGGCCAGGAGAGGAGGGCAGTTAGGGGCAATCAGGCTGGCAGGCAGGTGAGCAGTTAGGAGCCAGCAGTCCCAGATTGTGAGAGGGTCCCAGCGGTCCCTGTGGGATCGGGCCTAAACCAGCAGTCAGACATACCCCAAGGCGTCCCCAGTTGGAGAGGGTGCAGGCTGGGCTGAGGGAACCCACCCCTCCGTGCATGAATTTTGTGCACCAGGCCTCTAGACTACACTAATAAAAGACAAACATGCAAATTGACCATACCTTCATTATGCCTTAAGCCACGCCCACCAGCCAATCAGAGCGACTATATGCAAATTAACCCAACCAAGATGGTGGCCGGCAGCCACAGAGCTGGAGCAAGCAGGAGGCTTTGTTACCCTTGTGATGGAGGAAGCCAAGCTTCCCGCCTGCTGCGGCCAGCTCTGAGCTCCACTCAAGTCAACAAAGTTTCAATTATAGAAGATAAATAAACCCCAGATACCTGCTTTCAACCGGCCGTGGCCACAGAGCTGGAGTGAGCAGGAGGCTTGGGTTGTCCCTAGCAATGGAGGAAGCCAAGTTTCCGGCCCACCCTGGTCGACTCTGAATTCCACTCAAGGCTACAAAGTTTCAATTATAGAAGATAAATAAATCCCAGAATTAAAAAAGAAAAAGAAAAAAAGGAGAGGCTGGGAGCTTCCATCGCTGGGGGGCTTAGCCAGCCTGAACACAGCCCTCAGCCCCTCACCCAGACTTGCCAGGCAGCCCAGTGGACCCCCCACC